TAATATCCCTAGAGACCTTGGTTTATCTTTCGCTTCTGCATTTCGGATCCATTATCAGGTCAATCCTCTATTCATCACTAACCCACTGGGTTGAATAAAATCCGGGTCGTTACACGATCGCAACAAAAGGCCAAGGCCCGAAGAACCGAACGCCATACCAAATTTAATCAAAAAATTGGCCAAGTTCAAAAAACCCAAGCGGCCCCAAGAGCAGATTACAGCAAAAGGTGAAGGCCCGAAGAGCCGAACACCATACCAAATTTAACCAAAAATGTAGTCAAGTTCAAAAAAGCCTAACGGCCCAAAAAGCCGATCGCAACAAAAGGCTAAGGCCCAAAGAGCCGAACGCCACACCTAATTTTATCAAAATTTTATCAAGTGTAAAAGCCAAATGGCCCCAAAAGATTCAAATAAATACGAGCAATCATGAAAAATGTGAAGAAAAGAGAGAAAATCTTTTATATATATATATATATAATTTTTGCAGAGGTAGGATATATACCCCACAACTCTAAATAAAAAAAAAAAATAACAAAAAAATAAAAAAAAACTACTCTTCATTCACAGGGTCCTCCACAGTCTCAACTCCACCTTTGACATTAAACTTCTATGTAAAGGCATTGACCAACTGCACTCTAGCTGGAATAGAAGGGGAAGTATCAAGAGTCAAAGAAGGCAAGCTAAAAGAAATTGAAGGGAACTGAAGAGAGGGCAGAACCTCTAGAGCCACCTCACCTTTCAAGAGAGCAGCAAACTCCATCTCCCTAGGCCTAGTAGATAGTTCAACGTATTCCCCGGTGATCAAGAGCCCTTGCTCGGTATCATGCTCATCGGCATCACCACTATCCCTCTCCTCTGAAGGAAGCTATCCCTAGGCAAAGCCAGGCTTAAACCCCGTGGCATAACGAAGATTTGCAATTAGGAGAAAGGAGTAAACATCTCTAAACCCATTTCCTTGCAAGTCTGGATTAGGGAATTCATTTTCCTAAGATGCAAGTCAAGCTTAGCTGCCTTGTTTTCAAGCTCCTTAGCCCTCTTACCAAAGTACTCAACTGACTTGAGGTGCTTAGCCTTCTCCTTTCTAGCTTCCTTAAGAGAAGCCTCCAGAAAATCTACCATCTTCTATAGGGCAGTCATTTGGTTTGCCTAAAGAGACTAAGCTGAAAGCTTCTTCATAAGGAAAAACATCAAAAAAGAGATCTACAAGAAGAAAATAATATGTTACTAACAGATAAAAACATGACAAAGAAAAGTAGAAGAAAAGAATTGAATAAATTACCTCCATGATAGACTTGGGAGCAAGGGAAAGGAGATCATCAACATTCATCTGTGGTTGAAGAATCTCATCCCTAGGTGGCCACATTTCTCTGGCCAAACCAATCAGTGTCTCTGGGTCCTCGGCTCTAGAGTCACCGAGGGTAAGAGGAGAAACATCAGCCTTCAGCATCTCAGGAAACCACCTTTTAGTGGACCCTGCAAAGTCACATCCTCCAATATCGTCAGCAGGAGAGACAAAGTCGTCTTTGCCCCTGAAAGCCCCAGCTAAAAGCTTTGGGTGTTTAGAGGGAGGCTCATCCTTCCCAGAAGAACACTTATGCCCATGCCCAAATTAAGACCCCTTCTATTTCAGAGAAGTAACGGACTTACTCACCTCAACAAGGGCGTTCTTCCTTTCTGGCAGCAACTTAGCAACCACTTCCTTCTTTTTCCTAGTTGTACGGGGTTTGGGAAGAAGAAGTTCTATTACTGATTGAGAAAGAAGGAGAGGGGCATGCAAGATAAGACTACCCTCAGTATCATAGTCCTCTAGATCGATAGGCTCCTTGGGATTTTGAAAAATCATGGGAGAGTCCCTAGAGATCACCTCAGTAAGAGAAGAGGAGAGTAAGAACCAAGCAAAAAGAATGTCACTCCAGACACTTACCCGAAGATATTCATGACGGTTATCTACAAATTTCAAAGAAAAAAAAGTCATCCTTATGACCCAAGAAGTCAAAGATATAACAGAAATTTTTAACTACACAAACAAAACAAAAGTACTCACCCGAATCTTCAAACGCAGGAATATATGGAGCATGAAAGCTCCTTCGAACAGGGAAATCCTGAGCAGAAGAGGGGCGCCACGCCCCTCCAACCTTAATAATTTTATCCTTCCACTCCTTATAGAGGCTATCACATTGCTTAATTTCTTACTTGTTACTCTATGTTCAATTAGGTACTTGAAAAGAAGAGGAGCAAGCATTAGATCACTATATTGTTGCTAGGGACCTTTGTGAGCATTTCTCGAAATTCTTTTACCATAATTGTTCATATCTACATATGTTTGTGAGATAATCTTTGTCAAGGCTATCATATTGCTTAATTTCTTATCCAAGCATAGGTCCTTGTCGAGGTCATTTATTTTATGAATTAATATATTGAGGAGAACTGGAACATCATATGTGGAGGTTATGGATTTGTTATTGATTGTTGTGGTTTGTTGTGAAATTGTTGTGGATTGTTATTGTGTATGCGTGGTAAAAGGTCTCTTAGTACTCCTCTTATCCCTATTGATCACTAATAAGTGCTTAAATATTGCACATTTTAGCACCTAAGCTAGGGTATTTTAGTCATTTCATCTATCTTACTTTCCCGTTTTAGTTCTAATTCTTGCTTTTATATATTTTAGGTCAATAAGGTTCAAACGGGCTAAAAACAGTCCTTTAAAGCCTTTTTAGAATCAAGTAGAAAATTCAAAAAAAGTTTAAAAAATTGTACTGGAGCATCCACGATCGATGGCAGATTCTTCACAATCGATCGTAGGCCACGTCATCATTCGTAGCCACGTTAGTATTGGATAAGGTTGCCACATCATCATTCATTTAAACTTATGATTGATTGCAGCCAATTGCGATTGTTCGCAGTGCCACGTCAGCGCCAGCTTAGTGGATAGGATTGCCAGTTGTCAAGAATAAACTGCCACATTAGATATGATCAATTGCAGAAGTTGACGATCGATCGCAAAAATCTATGATCGATCACAACTCTGCTTGCAGTGACCAGTTTTTTTCTCGGCCTCGCCCGAACTTCACCTACCAAGTGGCTGCGAGATTAAACTAATTAGAAGGCCAATTTCTAACTTGTTTTGCATTCTAAGAAGCTTGCATATAAAGTACAATGAACCATTTTATAAAGGTTCACCAATTGTTTACTCATTAGAAAATTTTACACATAGAAATTCTCTCTCTAGATCAGGGTTTCTTGGAAAGAAAAGAGGCAAGATCATCATCATCTAGGGTTTCTACCAAGAAGACGAAGAGGAAGAAGATTGAGCTATATTTGGGGTTAGCCCATGAGGGTTCCAAGATCACATCCACCTCTTCCATGAGTGGCTAAACACCATCTTAGGGCTCGGAAGAGCCCTAGGCTTGTTCTATAAATCCTAGCTCTTGTCCTTTTAGGGAATCTATTGTTGTAAGGAATGATATAGCCTTGTGAATATATGAATCTTGGTTTTTCCATGATTTTATCTGTGGTTGAATGCTTCCTTTTAGTTCTCTAGATTAGTTGCATGTCTATATGTAATTAATTGAGGATTTCATCTCTATACTAGTTTTTCTATGTTAATTGCATGTCTATGTGTTATTAAATTGGGAATCTAGTGATGCCTATGCATGGATTTCATTTGATATACTTGTTGATTAATATGATGGGTAATACCTATGCTTGATGGATTGTGCTACAACTTTAGTTTAATTGCTTTAATTTCATTGTCTTAGTTTAATTGTAGTGTAATTGCATTTAAATTCCTAGATAGGTAGACAATCCATGCTTATTGTTACAAGTTGTATGATTCTCTAGATTAATGTGTGTTACAATTGTGGATTAATTGGATGTTTTATTCTTTAACTTGATGAGTTGTGCTACATCCAAGTTTATTTGATGTTAAGTGGACAATTCATGCTTATAGTTGATATCCATGCTCATTGTTGCAATTGGTAACACATATTTGGGTTACAAAAGATGAATACTAGTGGTTTAGAGACAAGCTTAGCGGTGATTCCTATGCCCTAAGACCTCTCTCCTATTCTCTAGACCTTACTTAATTTAGCTTGTTTTAATTTGCATGTTTTTAAGTTTAATTGTAGTTTTAATCACACCAAACCAAAACCTCTTTCAATCAATTAATCTACTAATCCAAGTTTAATTCCAAGTAACCTTTTCAATCTCTTGGGGTGATCCCTTCTCACTTCATACTACATAGTATAAGTGTCTAGTGGTTTTATAAATTTTAAATATGATGCCCACTTGACGCTCTCTAAAATTTTTATACACATTTTTGTGTGTTGGCACGGAAGTCATCAATCACGAAATTGAATTTCCCCTTCAGCGATTAAGAGGTAGAAGAATTCTTACCATTCTTGACCATCCCACAAACTCAATGGAGGAACAAAATCCTGTTCAAGGTATGTTAAACCTCAAGTGGTGCCACCAGCTCTAGGAGTTCAACAACAAAATGTTGTGCAACAACCTCATAGAATGCCAAGACCAAATGTGGTTCCACCACCCATTGGAATGCAACCACATCCTTTTGTGCAAATCTCTCTAGGAGCTCAAGTAGTTTACCCTCCTCAAGGTCATGTGGTGTATCCTCCCAATCCTCCAATGGTCTTTAGGGATCATTACACTCCAAATGAATACAATGCACCTACATGCATCTGTTTACCAAACTTTTGGGCTCACCATTCTGAGATTAAAGCTTCAACCATCCAAATGTGCCCCCTATTCTATGGGTTGAGCAATGAAGAACCAAATAAACACTTGGACGCGGTTTTAGAAGTTTGTTCAACCGTGAAAATCATGGATGTTCCGGAGGAAGTCTTAAAAATGAAGCTTTTCCCTTTCTCTCTTTGAGACAAAGCAATATATTGGTTTAATAACTTGGGGGTGAACATAATCACATCTTGGGCACAATTGCAACAAGAATTCTTAAAAAAAATTACCTTGCAAGTAGAACTAATGTAATGAGAACTTCCATCTGTGAATTTTCCCAAGGTAAGGAAGAACCTTTGCATGAAGCATAGGAGTGTTTGAACGACTTGTTATGGAAATGTCCATATCATGACTTTCCTAAGTGGCAACTAATTCATTGCTTCTATGATAGCTTATCCGATACTCACAAAGGTATGGTTGATGCTTCATGTGGAGACACCTATTTGGAAAAGAATAAAGATGATATTTGACTTCTTTTTGAAAACATAAGTGAAAATTCAATGCATTGTTTTTCATCTTCTAGAATAGGCTAGAATTTAAATATAGGAGGGAGGAAAAATCTATGTCAAATAGATATCTCCATGGAAATTACCACCAAGGTAAAAACTCTTACTTAAAGTTTTGAAAAATTCCTTTTGAGTCAAAACCCGGGAAATCAATCATCCTCTTCCTCCCATCATCATAATGAAATGTGAAGGACTAGTTCTAGCTACACTCACAATACTTCTAATTATCCTCTTAGACAAGTCTTTCCAAGTGAGTCTCAAGAACAAGTAAATGCCACGTTCACTCATCCAGGGAACAACCCATATTCCAATCAATACAATCCGGGGTGGGAGGACTGTAATACCCCTAATTTTAAAAGGATAGTCTCGGTATTTTTAATATTTATTGTATTGCATTTTTATTTATTTTATTGTCTTTATCACATTTTTATTTATTTTATTGTTTTTCATTTGTTTATTTGAAATTTGAATTAAATTGATTTTATGTGCATTATTTGGTTTCTTTAAATTCTTAATTGTTGTGTCTATTTTCGTAAATTATTAATTGTATTATTTGTAATTCACTATTTTAAACTTAGGAAATTAACTTACTATAATTCTTGTAATGTTAAAATTAAGTTACGTGAGTTTTTAAATACATTAATTGACTCATAGTTTCCTTTGGGCATCAACATAGAATTTAATCATAGGTTTTGTTTATGGGCCGACTAGGATTAAAATTAGGGCTCTGTCTCTAAAATTACAAGGATTAGGGTTTTAGAGTTAAACCTATAAATACAACCATTATGCTTTAGCCTAGGGTTTACAATTATAATTCAGATTACATAGACGTGAAGTAAGTTCTTAGCACAGAGGGTTGTGAACGGAGGCACTGTAAGAATTGTCAAGGAGAAGAACAGTGAGTACCAAGGGAGGATTTTGGTGGATTAGACCATAACCAGAGGAGGCTAGAAGGTAGTCTGTGGTTTCCAGAAGTTAGGACGACGGCGACAAGTTTTGAGTCTAAAACTACAGGCAAGTTCTTTTCTTCCTCCTTCCATCTGGCTTGTGTTCTGTGCACCTAGATAATCTCTAGGGTTTAATTAATTATTAAAACCAGAACTTAAATTCTTACCATATAAAATATTGATGATCTCTGCGTGTTAAAATAAATTCTGTTAAATGTTTGCAAGTCTTGTTTCAGTTCTCTGTTTAAGCATGTTTTGTTGTTAGCAATTTTAGTTTTTGTAATTGTTTTAAACCTCTGTACATAAATCATGGGGATGATTATGGGGTGTTATAGGACTCTAAAGATCAGTAGTGAAGAGGAACAGAGGGGTTGGACTAGAACTGTTAATGCAAAATAGTTGCAGATTTGTTCCTAACACGTGTTAGTTCGGTAGCCAATTTAACCTCTGTAATTGATTCTAATGGCTGTTATCAAACCTTTGGGATGCTCATGGGTGTTAATAAGATGCTTAAAATCTATTTTAGAAACCATCAGAGAGGTAGGAATTGATCAGAGAAGGAGCAGATGGACTGAAACGAAGCAACGGGGACAGAGGCTCTCAAAGGAGGTGAAAGCCGGCTCCATGGATGTGGGAGCCGGCTCCAACAACAAGTAGAGCCGGCTCTAAGGACTCCTAGAGCCCGCTCTAGGCTGAAAGAGCCTACTCCCAAAATTTGGAGCAGGCTCCCTTTGCTAAATATGTTTAATTTTTTTTATTTTTTTTAGTTTTAAGGCACTGTTTGGTATTTTGGACACTGTTTGAGCCTTGGGATGCTTCTAATGGATTGTGGGGACTTTTCAGAGGATTTAATTACTTGATTCTAAGTGTGATTAAACTAGTTGATGCATGGTTTAAGTCTCTAAGATAAAGGATAAAATAGTATAAAGGCGTATGACTTAGTACACTGTTATCGGATGGGACGAAATAAATTGTTTAGGTTAATTTAGCAATTTATTAGACTATAATGGGATTATAGAATTTGTTCTAAATGCATGATAGAGTCATTGATATATTGGATTGGGTCTATGCATGCTTTGGATGTTAGTTGTGTAAACTATTAAACTGTTTCCTGCAATTACATGGTTTAATTCTGGGATTTAAATTGCTGAAATCTTAAATACTTTTCTGCAATTATTTGGATTGTGGTTTTGGACTGTAAATTACTTGTTCATTATGTATACATTATAATTTACCTGGATATGGAGGATAGTATGCACCGGTATGGGACGGTGACATACTGGTGACGGTTTAGCTCCAAACACCTAAACCTAACCTAACGGATTTAAGGAATGGATTTATAAATGTTAAATCCTAATTTTGGTTAAGACATGTCAACTGCAACTAAGTTGAGCGGCTTCTTGGATTAATGGACGGAGGTTAAGTCACATCAACTGAATAAGTTGGGTGACTAACCAGTTGGTTTGTTGTATGTCAGTTTATTAAATATTTGAACTACATACCTTGGATTTGGACGGATGTTATATATATGTTTATGGTACCACGAGCTGAGCTTGAGTCTCAGACTCGTTGGTTAGGTTGCATATATGTGGTGGATGCGTAGCTGGTTATAATAGGTTGAGGTGTACCCTGTTAGGTCTAGGTACTCATGCCCACCTTCGGGTGCGTATTCGCATGTTACCTTCTATTCAGGTTGAGACCCCTATTATAGACTAGTGAATGTCCCTTAGTGTGGATATATTTATACGTATGGACTAGATAGATATTGTGAGGTGTCTACGGTGTATTTGCGTATCGGGTCATTGTATAGATTGCAATTAGATTAGAACTTGCTCGTGGGTCTGACCCACTCCTTTATTATTCTTTTCAGGTACATGACGGTTCCTGCCTTAGAGCTTGATCGTGCTTGTCAAGGACAGTCTCACATTCATCTGATTACGTAGAATTTTCTTGATGTTTCTAGCATTTTCTATTTTAAATTTTCAGTTTCTGTTGAACTTTTGGTTAGGGGTCCACCAGTGGATTCCCAAGTTGTAACCTTGAAGTTTTAGGAGGATTGGAGTTTTATTATTTCAGTTATGCATGGAGGGTTTTATAATTAATGTTTCTTTCAGTTTTATTCCATCTTTATTATTTTATTTTGTCATCTGTGTTCGCTTTAAAATACTTTAATTGTTTGATATTCGCTCGAGTTTGGGCCTGGGCCTGATCAACCCATGTCTCGGATCCGAGGGGTATCACAGTTGGTATCAGAGCACTCCAGGTTCAAGTGTCTCTAGGACGTTTCATATTAAGACTTCCGCGTAGCTTTTTTTTTTTTTATATAGAGCTTATGTTTAGGATTCGTTGAATTCTTTTACAGTTCGTTTAAACTCGTACTGATGTCTGCCTTTCTATGTTAACAGTATGGTTAACACTAGAAGAGGACTGAACATGAACAGTCGACAGAGGAGAGCGGCACATAAACAGCAGGAACGTCTACAACATCGACAAATGGAAGAAGAGCAGCAAATGCAAGGGTTTCAGGAGGAGCAGGAGGAAGTTCAATAAACTCAGGGTTGGGTCAGAGATCCAGAGATTCCTCCACACCTCAATGACCTTGTTGCTCGAGCTATAGAGGCTGGGGTAAGAGCTGCACTCCGGAACCAACCACAGGTTCAGCAGGCACTTGTACCAGCACCAGTGGTTCAGACAGATTCTTGGGGAAAGGCTAGGAGCTCTTTCACAAAGGGGAGTCCACCTGTGTTCTCAGGCTCAACTGATGTGAGAGCAGCTTACCAGTGGAAACAGGACATTGAGCGTTATCTTCATTTGGTTCAGTGCACGGAGGTTCAGAAGCAGAAGCTTGCTACTTTCAAGCTAGTTGGGGATGCACTACAGTGGTGGGAGTCAGTTACCACCCCAGAGGAGAGGATGACATTGTCTTATGATGAGTTCAGTGCTTGCTTTGACGAGAAATATTTTCCATATGCAGTCAGGGCAGTTATGAAGACCGAGTTTCTAAATCTGCAACAGGGAAACATGACAATGGCGGAGTATGAGCAGCAGTTCACACGCTTATCTTTCTTTGCACCGGAGGAGGTGGATACAGGGGAGAAGAAGCGTAACAGTTTCGTCAAGGGACTGATGTAGTCTATCAAGAGAGCTATTACGGGTAGTCCAGCCTATACTACCTATGCTCAGGTGGTAGACACCGCTCTACAACAGTATCAGTTGACTGTGGACATTAGACAGGCTCGTGGTGAGAAGCGGGGTAATAAAGACTCTACTAATCAGTCAGCTGAAAAAGGGAACGACAATGATCACCGGCAGAATGACAAAGGCAAGTTTCAGGGATAACAGCCTTAGAAGAAGCACAAGAGTGGTTCAGATGCTTACTGGAATGGGGCACCTATTCAGAGGCAACAGAATGGGGGACAACAGGTAGGACAGGGTCAACCACAGGCTAACCGACAGAGGAGGCCAGGCAGTGTCCTAAAGCAGGACAGGGACAGGGATAGTATGTGCAGCGGGGACAGAGGGTGCCAGTGCCTCTACCAGCTCCATAGGTTCCATGGATTCAGGGACAGACACATCTGGCTTTACCGGCACCGCCGCAGACTCAGGGATAGGCACCACAGCAGTTGCACTATGGCAGGGTGTATAACACCATGCCACAGGATGTTCAGGCACCTCAGACTATTGAGGGTAAGTTTCCTATTCATGGTTTACATGGACGTGTTTTATTTGATACAGGTGCTACACACTCATTTGTAGCTAGGACTTTTATTACTTTATCTAGGATGAAGACGAGGGTATGCACTAAACCTCAGGGTATTTCTACACCATTGGGTGATACAGCTATTATACATGAGAGTGATGGGCCTGTGACATTAGATATTGGCAGACTCAGATTTCTAGCC